GAAAAAAAGGATGATAGAGAGGAGGACTGGGGGGGGGGGGGGGCAGATAGCCTTCAGTCTTTCCTTCATGGGGAAGTGCAACACCCATGGCTTGTCTTTGTTTCATGAAACAGACAAGCGTCATGTCGTCATGTGGAAGCTCAATCTTTTCTTTTTAATGCAGCACCAGTCGTTTGTCTTCTTCGGAGGACGATGCTGACAAGTGCGGAGTCAAAGTAAAAAAGAAACACGCATTCCAATCTTAAAGTTCACATTGCCGAGCATAAAACTTTTGGAGGAGGAGCCAGAATGGCACCCGGCGGTGACGTGACCTTCTTCCAAAGGACACAAAAATGCCGACTTTTATTGAAGTGACGGGACTCTGTGCATCCGTGGAGTGGAGCTCGTCGCCCGTTTTGCGTTGGCGATCGTTTGTGATGGGAAGCGGCGGCTTGATATTACCGCTCACGATGTCGCCCGATGACGCCGCTGCTCTGCTTATTGTCCGCCTCATAAAATCAGAAGTGACTCACGCGTCTGTCGTGGAAAGGAACGCCCTGAAAAACAATCCTGTACAGTTCCCTCCTGCCGCTTTGGAACTCCTGACTTCCTCAAATGCTAATTAGGTGCTTTTTTTTTCTCCCCTCGTGTCGAAACTCATCCCTGATGGGTGTCGACGCCTTTTTCTCAAGAAGGTCGCAACAGGCGGCCCATGAGTACAAATATGATTGCTTCGTTGTGACTCAGCGCCAAGTTGCTGATGAGGAGTATTCCGGTCCAAGAGTGTCTCGCTTTGGCGTGAAAGTATTTTCCTCACAGTCTTGTCAGCCGCGCCGTCATCTGCCGCGGGCCAACGAATTGTCATCGCGATGGGCCGCGCTTTCGGTCTCTCGCGTGACAAAGTCAAGGCCTGGCGGCACAATCGAGGTCCTGGCAAAGCGATGCGCGTTTGAATAAATGTTGAATTTGGCTGTGCAGTGGTGCTGCAGGTGATCGCCCTGATCATCTACCCGGTCAAGTTCAACGAGCAGATCTTCGAGGGCCACTACTACTACACGTGGGCGTACGGCTTCGGCTGGGGCGCCACCCTGCTGTGCATCGGCTGCGCCGTGCTCTTCTGCTGCCTGCCGCGCTACGAGGACGAGCTCACCGGCCTGGCGAAGACCAAGTACCTCTACACGTCCGCCTAAAGCCCCCCTCACCCCCCATCACCCCCCAGGCCCTGCCCTCCCCAACCACCAGAAGCGTGTCTTTTTGTACTTTCACCCCAATTCAAGATGCGGGTGGCATCGGCGTCGGCAGTAGCGACCGTTTTGTCCCCGAGAGCTTCTCCGTACGAAACATCACCCAAGTGCCTGCGCATCAATCGGAATGGATTTTTAATCTGGACTCGATGATTTGGACTCTTTGATTTGATCCCGAGCGACCGCTCCGGCCCACTCTGCAACCGGGATCCAAAATGCTTCCGCTTTCAATTCGGGGGTTGTTCTGAAGGGTTTTTGCCCTGTGTAATTGATCCAGAACTCTCCAACAATCCAGAGCATTGCTTCGGGAGCGAATGATCTGGGCCACAGAAATTCTTCCGGAGCAGATGATCCCAAGCCATCGATCGGGAGCAATCGTTCTGGCCCCGCTGTTTGGGAGCGAGTGATCCGGAACCATTGGGAAGCATACGATTTTGAGGATTGTATTCTGAAGCATTTGATTCAATCGGTCCAGGCCACAGTGGAAGCCCAACAACAAATGGGATAGATTCAAAAAGAAAAAGAAAAAAAATGCTCATGGCTTCAATTTGCCGATTGATTGGGGCACTTGATCCTGGGCAAATTGATCCGCTGGATTTGTTCCCGAGTGATTGTTTTGATGCAAATAATACGCAGCGATTTAGCTGCAGCGTTAGATCTGGAGCCAGGTAAGCCGGAGCGATTGGTCCAGCTTGCCGTGCAATTTGAACCAACAGATGGGATCCAAAAAGCTCTTTTCAAATTGGGAGATTGAAACGAACACTTTGATCCGGAGCGCTTGTTCCCGAGGCAATTGTTCTGGAGCCAATGATCCCGAGCATTCATTCCAGAGCGATTGATCTGGAGTGAATGATCTGAAGAGTTTGTTCCGGAGCGGTTGATCCAGCCCACCACGCAATTCGAACAACAAACACCATCAGCAATGCTCATCATTTGTTGTTCAATTACCGCTAGCTTTTTTTTTTTGGGGGGCGTGGATCGAAAAAAGGTGTCCCCAGCCTGACGGTGCACGGGAATTTCACACATCGGAATTGTGAATGGCTCGGTTCCAGTGTACCTTTCCACAATGCTATAAAATGTGGTTCAATGTCATCCTTGCACCTTTCTTCTTGGCATTTCTAGTGCTCAGTTCTTCATTTAAAAGAAATTTTTTTTTTTGCCTGCACGCTCTTCATTTTGTATTATTTCTCGTCAAGAGGCTTGAGGGGGGATTAACTTCGCTTCGCATTAGGCGCCAAGTGATTTAACTGCGCTAAACTCGAACGTATTTTGTGATATTTCATCTTTTAGAGAAATTAGCATTTGAAAAAGATATCAGAGTGTGTGTAAGCTGCCTTGATTGTGACATTAACTTTAAGGGGGATTTGTTGTTGGTTTAAAGGGAGCAGTATGTACTCCAAATGTTCTGAGTTTTTTTTTTCTAAACCGGTGTGTTTGGGTTTTAGTAAAGGAGGGAAGTAGCATTATTCAGCGTGAAAAACACCCAAACTCTTGGTCTGATGTGCCTTACCTACTCAAATGTCCGATTTTTGCATCAAAATACTGTACAAGACCTCCTTGTTTGATGTATTGTGTGAATTAACAACAAAAAGAGCATATTCTAGTCAGAAAGTCATGTCAAAAAAAAAAGAAAACAGCTGACATGGCATTACTGACAGGCTAAACCAAAAGTCTGATCAATATTTGAAAATAAGAATTGATCATGGCAGGTTGCGTGTGTGAGTTGTCCTACTACTGTTTTAATACTCTTTCAGTCTTTCCTGTGGGTGTGTCACGGGTGCTGTCATTAACTAGTTGCCCCTCATTGTTCTTCTGCTGTAGTTAGTGTGAAGCGAGTCTCTTTTTTTTGTAGTTTGTATTTTTATGCAATAAACTCTTTGTTTTGACTAAATCAACTTGTTTCTCCAGTGGGTAAAACACCACACCTCAAATAGATGGCGACAGGTGGCGTGTGCCACTTGAGACGCCACGTTGCACGTCGCCAACACAGCAGGGATGGCATCTGTAAAGCTGCCGCATGGCGTATTCGCGGTAAAGAAAGCAACCTCGATCTGTTCGTTCCATAACAGAACCCAAAACACAATGTGGACTATCGGAGCAATATATTCTTTATTCATAATACTTAGGTTGTATTTAAAATCGTGCTCCTTTATTTGTGCATGCTGTCAATGCTGTTACAAAAACGCTTTGTACTCTGCAGCCAATTAAAAACAAAAACAGACTTCGGAACAATTTTGAGTTCAAATAAATTTGAAGGGGAAAGACCTCAAAGTAAGCAGATTGAGACGGTGAGAATTATGAAGAAATGGGATGATTTTTTTTTAATCACCCGATGAGCTGAATACAGTTAGTATTTATATATATGTAAATTTTTTTAATGCAACAGTTGATGCCATAAAACTGTCTGTAAAAATAATGATTCAAAAATGTTTGAGATGAGAAAAAAACGTCTAAGCTCCAGAGGAGATTTTGTTGAACGATCTGCTGAAATCCCAGACCTTTGTCATGTTGACGTTTTTTGTGAAGCTAAGGAGCCTCTGAGAGGAACGCCAGGCCAAGTGCGAATCAGCTGAACTGACAGAAATGATAAACAACAGGCAGGAACATTAACCTTCAAGCTAAACAACTGCCGGAAATGCCGAGCTAAATGCTCAAAGTCAGACAGTCAGACAGTCACAGTCACAGTACTGTGAAGCAAAGCGCTGAACCGAGAACGGGGCCGCTAACCTTAAAGCTAAAGGGGAAAAAAAAAGGCAGCAATGTGAAGCTTAACCCTAAACAACTGGTAATCAATGTTAACCAAAATGGTAAACAACTGACAGTCGTGCCACGCTTGATGCTAAACAAGTGACAGGGATGGTATTTCAGTGTGACGCGATGGATGGGCACAAATGGGAAGCTTGAGAAAAACAAGTGACAGGAATGCTCAGCTAAACAAACGCTAAAGCCCACACTCCGACCTGCAGTCAAAGTGGGCTGTGTGCAAACAGGTTGCTGAACTTTGTCCTCGCCTTCTCAACGCACACAACCGCAGTGATAAGCAGCCAGTGACTCACAGCCACCGGGCCCCACCCTGGGAAGGGCCTCCGTGAGGAATCTGACTTGCCCCAAGCCCAGCGTTTGAGTGAGTGTCTGTGTGTACTGAGTGACAGCTTCATGGCGGTATGACTCCGGTGTGAAATAATGGCAGGCGGGCGGCTGGGAGAAGGTGTTTTTCGGTAGAGTCGATGTTGAAGTGAAACTAAAGACACAAAACCGGAAGTTGCGGAGGGTGGCAACTTTTCCTGATGGCCTCCTTCGCTCAACCCCCCCTCACTCCCAAGCCTGAAGTCGACTTCCTGCGACTACAACAACTTCACATCAACGTTGAAAAGCGAATCAGCTCTCACGTTCACTTAGGTTTCCAATGTGTTGAGGAAATTCATGCCTTATGATATAGGTTCCCTTGCATCGCGGATTTTCATCGATTGAGGGTGGGTTCACTTCCATAACTTTTACGTTGAGATCATCACGGAAGCGACAATGGTTGAATTTCCGTACAGCAAAACAGGAATGACGAGTCCTGTATTAAGGAAGTCACACTACGCCATCTACTGGCCAAGAGCATGTGCTGCACTCAACTGTCATTCTGAATCTGATGCTCATTTTAATGGACCTTGTCAGCCATGTAATTATAATAATAATAAAAATAATAATACATTTTATTTATTCAACCCCCCCTCACTCCCAAGCCTGAAGTCGACTTCCTGCGACTACAACAACTTCACATCAACGTTGAAAAGCGAATCAGCTCTCACGTTCACTTAGGTTTCCAATGTGTTGAGGAAATTCATGCCTTATGATATAGGTTCCCTTGCATCGCGGATTTTCATCGATTGAGGGTGGGTTCACTTCCATAACTTTTACGTTGAGATCATCACGGAAGCGACAATGGTTGAATTTCCGTACAGCAAAACAGGAATGACGAGTCCTGTATTAAGGAAGTCACACTACGCCATCTACTGGCCAAGAGCATGTGCTGCACTCAACTGTCATTCTGAATCTGATGCTCATTTTAATGGACCTTGTCAGCCATGTAATTATAATAATAATAAAAATAATAATACATTTTATTTATAAGCGCCTTTCAAAGCACTCAAGGACACTTTACAACCAAAACAATTAATGATTGTTTATCAAACAAAACAAAGTGTCTCGTCCTGTCTCTGTTCGGAGCACTCTAAATTTGGCTGCACAACGCATGAGCACAGGTTATAGACCGCCATTTCTTATTTTTGAGCTTTTGCATCCAGTGAAAAGTGCTGAACTTCTGGCAGCATTTTCTACTTGTGCTACTTGAGGTGCCAGATGTCAGGTATGGAAGATGATGATGATGAAATTGTGTCAAGTCAAGTTTTGCATGGTGTGTTTAATTCTAGTAGGGGTTGGTTTCGATGCACCTTTGAAGGTGCTTTCCAGTTAAGAGTTGTCCCGAACGTCCCCCCCCCCCACACACACACACTAACACACTGTTTGTCCCTGACACCTCATAGCAGGACTGAGGAAAACGCCCAAATGCTTTTGGGCCTCTCGTGAAACAATAGAAGTGGGTCAAAAAGTCACTCTTGGGCACGCCATCAGAGCATGAAATTGACACTTCTCAACTTTTTACACCAATTCCAGAGCTGTTATTCCTTTATTTAGTGTTGTTATTTGTATCTTATTTTACAAGTCTTTGTTGCCTTCTGTTTGATTTTGTTTCTGTTTATTGTTACTGCTATTTAGCTTTCATATTTTTAGTCATTTCGTTTTTTTGCACAATACATGAATTTTTCCTTCTTTGTAGAGTTGAATAACTAATATTCTATCTATCTAAATACACACACACACACACACGCACACACACACACACACGCGCGCGCGCGCGCGCACTTCTATGCTGTTTGAAAAAAATGAAAGTGAAAAAAGAAACTATAATATTCAAAAACTGCGTGGAAACAATAAGAACCGATAAAGAGGATGACATAAAACTCTTAAAAACTGAAAAATAGGATCATAAAATTCCACAAATGATTATTTGCATTATTGTTGTCGTTATTTCGCGTAGTTATCTTTGCACAATCAAGACGGCTGCGCCCCGGAGCCCCCCCTGGCGGCGCCCAGGGGTAACAGCCCCCAGGGGTGAGGGAGGGGAGGGGAGGGGAGGGGTGGGGAGACTTG